GGTGGATAATTCTGGGTTTGGCGTGTGGCTAATGATCGGGGCATTCATCAGGCCATCTTAGGCGCGCTGTTTGCAGCCCCGACCGGCTCGCCGTGCGGGCCTCGTCCGTCTTCGCGCTGCTTGTTCCGGTTGCCCACAGCACTGGCCGAGTATGCCACACTCCCAGAGAGAGGTGCATGACCATTTCGGTGGTCGAAGCGGGTTCAGACAAAGCGGGGGAGAGAGATCCTCAACGGCTACTATTCTGGCGTTATCCGAGCAGTTTATTCGATGGGAAAATGAACGTCGGTTACGGCCACTATTACTGTTTTTATTGCTTTTGTGAAAACTATTAACGCAACCACTCATTAACTCTTTCATTAACCTTTTTTGGTCTACCCGTCTGTGACAATGAAAAAAAAATCATACAGTCAACTGTACAACACAAGCTCTGCATTGAGATTTTTTTTTTTCCTCGGGTGTTTTTGGGGCCAAAGCCAAGGCCAGTAGGTTTCCGTGGTCCAGATCGGCACCAGGCGCTAAACACAAAGGCGCAGGCTCATTGAGGAATGCTGAGGGGAGGCGTATACACACACACACACACACGCCATTGCCCACACGAGCAAGCGAGCGCGCCTCTTCTTGCGGGTCTCGGCTTTGCCAAGCGCCGCACTTGGCTGCAGTCTTTGGAATGCTGCAGAAAAACCGCGAGGCCCTGGCACGGGGAGCGGGTGCGGCCCCGTACACCTACAATTAAAAGCGAGGAAAGGGACCGCAGCCGTTTTGCGGGTAGGGCCGCACGAAAGGCGATGGGGGCCAGCAGAGGGGGGCTTTGAGCGGGGCGGGGGCGGCGCAGGTAGAGACGCGGCTGGCGCGTGGCCGCCACGCGGTCGGTCCCCCTCCCCGGGGCCCTTCTGCTCTTCGAGACTCGCGCCATGCCGGCGGAAGGAAGTCGGCGCCAAAGGCTGTTGTGCGTCACGGCGGCCATGACTCTGACCAAAGCGGCTTTGCCCGTAGCAGGCGGGAGTGATTTATACCCACTCTGTATGTTTGCCCAGAAATGCGGCGCGTTAACGGGGAAAAAAAGACAAAATAATGGAGGTCTTCCGCTTCTTGGGAAGCGGCACCGGGAAGTTTGTCTTTATATTAAGCTCGAGGGGTACCGAGAAGAGGTCAAGAGCGCTAAATGAAAGCTTTGCCTCCCTCACGAAGGGGAAAGTATCGTCAGCGTGTCGAGATCTTTCAGCGATCAGCTTTGCCATCGCAATCGGACGAAGGAAATTGATACCGCGCTTTTGATATCATTCTCGCTTTGTATCGGAAATCTCTGCTCTAAATTCGGTGACGGGTGAATTTTGAGCGGATATATTCCCTACCCTTGGTAAAACTTTAGGAAATAACCTTTTAGAAAAACGTTAAGAAAAATCAAGCACTTTTTGTTTCGCTTTTTTTTTTTTCACTTCTACAGTGAAACGCTTGTAAACCGATATTTACTTGTAACTATAAGAGTCGATAATTCCTTTCATCTACTCATCTGCCCTTCTAGTTTGCTTTAACAGGGCGAAACGGGTATTTTCCCACATCTGTGCGGTTATCGAAATATCTACGGGAAAAGAAACCGGCGAGTTGATATGTTTGGAATGAGTGGATGGCCGGATGAGATAAATGTGTAACGAACCGTCGAGAGTCTATCTTGCAAATTCCAGTAAATAGTCGAAAAATGTTCTCCGACAAGACCGCTCTGGCCGTTCGGTGCCCCTTCGGGCCCCGTCTGGCGGCCATCCCCTCCTCGCGAAGTCTCTCCAAGGCGGCTCGCATGTTCGCTCCGGAGGTGCGTGCTGAGCGCCCGCTGGAGGCAGCATTAGCCCCGCCAGCGGAGCGTGACCGACCAGCGAGCCGGTGCGCGCTACTTCCTGATAGGTGTTTTACACCGACACGGCCGGCAGACTCTGCGCACCCCGTCCTGTGTACACAAGCGCGGGCACCCCGCCGCTTGTCCCAAAGCGCCGCGCGCAACCCCAAAAAAGGCAGCCAAAACAGTGCCCCCACACCGACGAGGCAGCGTCTTCGGGGGGGATTCCTCGGGGGTACCCGCGCCTTTCGGCCACGTCTGTATCGGGCGGCTCGCCCGCGGGTTACGAGGCGGGGTGGGCGTCGAGTTGTGCCCGCGCCGCGGGGATCTCGGAAACGGCGCATTTTGGGAGCACGCGGCTGCCGGAAACGAATGTTCGATGAAGGGTCGCGGAGATCTCTATATCTCGGCACATCGCTATAGATCGCTGAAGAGGGGTTGGTGCTGTTGCGCACTCCCAGAGATTGCGGGAGCGCGGAGAGAACGGTGTCTCGCGGATCGGAGGTATTTCGCAGAACCTGTCTGGTCTTTCACCTTTGCCTATAGTGACTGTTGCCACTGCCACGAAAAGATCGGCCACAGTTGGCTCCCTCACTCGCGTTTCAGTGGTATGCGAATTTTTAATCGAACCTTGCCGCCTGTGTATGTCACACATATGTGCATATCTGTGACATACACGTATGTCACACAGATATGTCAGACATACCTGTATTTTTGATCAGTGTCAAGAGCTAGGTCGGTGTGCGAATTTTGAACTGAATCTTGTCGCCTATGTTTAGATGGTCACATGTTTACATGTGACCATCTATTTACCATCATCTATCTACCATCTATGTGACATGTGACCATCTATCACCAGCATCTATCTACCATCTGACATGTGACCATCTATCTACCATCTATCTACCATCATCTATCTACCATCTATCTACCATCATCTACCATCATGTGACCATCACATGTTTACATGTGATGGTTACATTGTTTACATTTTACTATACTACTACCATACACGTTTTGTCAAATTAGAAGAATCTAGAGTGGTGCGTCTAGCATGCGAGAAACCCCGAACTCCCAACAGACACACTCCCTTAATCAGGCTGATTTCGAGTGAAGCGCTCGCCTCGACTTTCTGGAACGTCCGAGAAGGCGGCGTTCCGCTCACGAGAACTCTCGGCGCCCATGGACGCGGTCCCTCGGTTCGGACCGCTCTGCAGCTGACTCCCGACGCGTGCCGTGCCCGCCGTTAATTGAATGAGCCGGCAATTTCACGCCAACGCGTCGAGTGCGTCTCTTGCCGCCGCCAGTCCGACCGTGGCCGATCTCCTCGACTGACCAAGGATGATTCGCCGCCCTTCCCCGCGCGAGATACCGTCGGTCCGTGGCGTGCGCGTGGACATAGCGTGAGCCCATGGCACGCCGACCCCTTACATCGAGGTACGCAGCTTAAAAAAAATGCTTTCGAGTACGCTTCCGGACAACCCGAGCGCGATCGCTCGACCCGGGTTCGTGCCACGGTTAAGAAGAGCCCTGTAGCTATCGAAACCGGAGTTTGGGGTCCACACCATTATCTCTAATTGTGATATGCGGCCGAACTGCTTGAAGATCTGGCTTGCGGATCACAGAAGCCGTCCCAATCACGCTCACATGAGTCACGATGTATGCAAAAAGCCCAACGATTAATTGGTGATGCTCACCGCACTTTAGTATGGCATCTCACGTACTGTCAGTTCACATGTTGGCCGGCTAGAAGATAGACCATCCTCACTTAGTGCTTTGATGAATACATCGCAATGAATTGCGTTCCTCGTATCCCGTGAAGAGGACGGCACTGGTCGCTGGCTTTATTCCGCGTCCGTTAGAATGTTGGCACACGATTCGCAAACAACGAAAATCCTCATTACGAGTGCCTCCTTTTCGGCGGCTCACGTGTAAGAGTCTCTTCAAGCGCCTGGTATTTGAGCGTGCCGAATTCCAACCTGGGATAAGATAACCTTTCCCGCGAAAATACTCGACCGCAATGTTGACTTTCGGGTATCTGTGGTTCGCTGAAAGACGGTTTTTTTCTTGCTTATCGTTTCTTGCGTTGCATTTGGTGCGCACGATTTGAAACTCTGCTGGTCAACGCACGTATAGTTTGTTTCTACCTTTGTGACCTGCGTCAATAACTAAGGAGTTAGTTTAATTATACAACGGGTGAGGTTCACGGAACAACGACATGCAAAAACATCAGCGATATGCTATTCAATTCGACGGTAGCGGATCCAGTCAACTGAAAACTGATTGGATGAAAGAAAGAAAGGGTGAAAAAGGGTCAGATGTATACTTGAGTGGTTAACTGAGTTTGATAAACGACATCATATTCACACAAAAGCTGCAAAGGCCACCCTTACATCTACAGGTCAAGTTTCAGAATCTTGCATCTTGATAGACACATACATTACTGTCTAGTGCAAACATGTCTGAATAACCCCGCGCGTCGATAAGATACCAGGACGGAATGTGAAAATATCGGGAGAGTAAACATGGTTCGTTGACGACAGTGGAGTGCGCGGCTTGTTTGTGTCAAACTAGACCCGAGAAAGGGGTATGCTATCCCCACGAACTCTCGGTATATACTGCAGGGGCATTGGGGGAAACCTCAAAGAGGGTATTCGTGGCAGCAGCAAATAAAATACATGTATCTGATGATGTCATGTCGACGTTTCACTGTGCTCTCAGAACACGGGGAAAATAAATTACGACTTTTTTAATTGAAACAAAAAATACATACATATATATATATATTTCAACCAGCTCAACCTAAGCAAAAAGGTAGTTAGTGCATGAAGTACTTTATTCATGCATATTTTAATACACGAACAAGGTAAAAAGCATGTGCACAACAAAAAGGCAGAAGGACACCATTTCGTTCTTTCTGCCTTTTGAATGACATCACTCGGATGCACTGACGAACCATGCAAAGTTAAAGTGCTCCACTTTTTTTTCTCTCTAATTTTCGTACACCACTAAAAAAAAAAAAAGGTAACAAAAATACACGACACTATTATTTCTCGGCATCGCTCTCGGTCTCCAACCTCGAATACAACAATATCCAACGAAACTTGAAAGGTTTGCAGTTGAATACTAACAATGAACGCGCGCTCAAAATATCGGAAAGTGTGCTGACCTTTCCGTGCTCTTTGTCAAAGTCGCAACAGTCCACGTAGCCATTGTGACAGGGGCTGAAGACGAGCTGAAGATTGGTGCCCGTGGCCACGAACGCCTGTGAGAAAAGAAAAGGACAGGTCGCTTAGACGCAACACACGCCTGGCACGTGGACAACATGCGCTGAAAATATAATGGTGATTTTTTAATTAGTGAAAACAGAGTGCGTAGAAAAAAAAAAAATCGGTCTCTTTTTTCGATAATCATCTCTTATACGCCCGCCATGTGATTGTTTTACCGAGCCATTCGCGAGCTTTCGCGCTGCACCAAATAAAGGTTCATGTGTGAAGCAAATCGGTAAAAAGGAGGAGAAGGGGGGGGGGGGGGGTGCGCACAGATCGAACTTGAAAGCAACCCCTTCAGAGAACAAAAGAGTCGCGAGGTTTCCTTCCGTTGTGTCCATCCCGTCGGAGGACAAGTCGGTGACATCCTCGCGCCGTCGCCCCGCCGGACATGCACCACGAAAGAACAACCAGAAACATGTCCTTGTTGTCGGCAGCGCCTTGTGGTCGTTTGGCCGGCGGCGTCATGCCGCGGCTCCCAAGAGCGTCTCCCCAAAACGTCCCGTTTAAAAGAAGCCCAGACGGCGCTTTTGTCCGGCCGTGATTGGCGACAAATGGCTCGCTCGTCGTCTGCGCCAGCAGAAAGGGCAGCGGGGCTTCGGAGTGGAATGGCCCGAGGGCCCTCGGCCGTGCCGGTAGAAGAAGCCCCGAGACAATGGGGCCGGGGGGGCAGGTGCACTCTCCTGGCTCTTGGGCGCCCCCTTTTACGACGAGGGGACAGAGCGGCCTTGGACGGCGGCCCCCGAAAGCCCGCGCTGTTGAAAGAAGCCGCGGCACCCGGGGGTGGTTTGGTGGGCGCTCGTCTTTTGAGCAAAGATGGCTCCGCGAGCCGAGATCTTTTTTTTGGGGGGGTGGCATTTGGACCGAAGAGCGAGGCTAATTGGAAATGGCGGCTTTGGAGGCGCCGAGCTCGAGACGATGGGTGCGCACATAAAACACCGATTAAACGGCCGAAGCGCTGTCCGCAATCCAGCGACCTTAGGGGTCGCCACAATCGGCCAAATATGGTGGTCTCAAACGGGTCGTGCCGTGGCGTGTCATGTACCAGCAATACGTACAACGGTCGTATTTCAGCAGACAAGCGTTGGACTCAAAATGAGTTTCCCCGATTTTTATTCACTACGTTTCAAACCTGCGGCGATCGATGTGTTGGTAGCAAGTGAGCTTCGAGAGGCTTGACCTTTTTTGGGAATGCGATGGAGGGACTGCGGTGCCGATGAACGTTGATAAACGCACAATGTCTGGTTCTCGCGGTGTTCACAGCGACCAGGGCAACCACGCTTATACGACTGTAACAACACAGTCAACGAGACAACTGTTCAATGTTTCGTTCGGTTCACTGTTTTCCCGCTAGATGCCGACCGTTTTGCAGGAGTCGCGAATACACTGAGCAGCGCAGCTACGCTTGTCACGTGGGTCATGAGTGCTGAACAGTGCTGCACTAAGCCGCGGTCCTTGATCCTAAGGGTAAACTGAAAAAGCAATAATTAGCGGCTCATTTTACGCCCTGAAAAATGAACGCCGTTGTACCGAGCTCGTGACGGTCGCATCGCGGTTCCTCTGATGGTGGGCTGTGCTCCGTTTCATCGTCGCTAGAAAAGTAACAATCACCATGAACTCAAAACTTCGAAACGTGCTTGCGCTCTACAAAATAATGGTAACCGGTTGACACGTCTCGAAGCATAAACAAGTTTTGCACCAAGCAAACACAAAAAAAAAAAAAAAAACTCATCCTTTTGAATAAAAAAAAAGTGAAGTGGGTTTTAACTTGTAAGGTTTTTCGCCAAAATTACCCAAGCATCACCGAAGAATGCTGGAAACGTATAAGTACATGCGCTACACGCGCTCGCCTTAGCAGTTAAATATATTTTAAGGAAATATTCAAAATAACGCGTCGAGGAACGCACGCACAAAGGTGCCACTTGGGTTAGGCATTTCTTTTAGAACATTTAGCGCTGCAGACACCAGCGCGTTTGACTATACACTCGCGGCATGTTCCTCGGTGCTCGAGTAATTTAGCAAAAGGTCTGTGCCAAAAAAGCTGTCACGCTCATCACACCACGTCACGTCACGTCATCACGTCTGGCCGTGTTGTCACGCGTCGTGGGCGCGATGCTGAGGCGTGCTCACGACGAGGCGTCCATGAAAGCGCCCTTCGCGGCCGGTTGGCTTATCCGGGCGACAAGTGGACGGGCATTTCCCATCGCGAGCGAAGTTCACCCAAGAAACGTCAGAGCAAGGTTTCTCGTTTTCCCATCGGGGCCTTGGGGGGTGCGCTCGCTGTTGCTAAGGTGCACGCCGCCAGAGAACGGCTGCGGGTGCACTCAACTCTTCGAGCGATAGAATGCGAGCTCGTTCCGGAAATATCGAAGCACGGCCCTCCTTGGCCGTGCCCCTCCAATAAGACCTCGAAATAACAAAATCAGGATAAAAGAGACGCAAAAATATAAAAATAATAATAACACTCGCGCTCAATTGGCGCGCGCAGACACAGGAAAGCGTGTTCTCTCTGCTGAGGGTCCAGACATGAGTAAAAGAGGACGCTTTATGCTTTCGTTTTTGCGACATGTGGATAGCCTACCACGAACGGAAGGCACAGTGGCAGAAAACACAATCCTGAGGGATGTTTTGGTCACGCGTCAATCGCAGTGCGAAACTAAAAAACAGACAGAAAAAAAAAAACAAAAAAAAAAACACTGTTGAGGTTAAAAGACTTTTTTTGATCCAATGAACGGCTATCGCTTCGAGAAAAAAGAGGCGTTCAAGTAAAAAAAAAAAAAACTTTTTCTCTTAGACATGTTTGTTGCCTCGACTGGAGACAGTAAAACGAGCCTTGGGGAAAACATGGCCTCCTTGATTTCATCCTATTTAGGTGAAAGATTCAGACATGTAGAGCGATGACAGCAACTTTTGAGTATGAAACAATAACATATTTAGGCGTTGCTTCCGATTTGCAACCGTTCTACAGTGCTTCGTTGACCAACTGTTGGTATACCGTCCTCGCATCTCGTCCTCTGGCCTGAGTGCACGCTGCAGTCAAGCACATTTGTCGTGGTCCCAAAGTCTGCTACGCCATCCGTGTCGGATAATTCGTTACTTTCTATATGCCTTAGAGGTGTCGCTCGTGACAATGATAGAGCTGCGTGTACTGCCGCTCACCGTGTGAACAATTATTATGACGTTTCTCACGAGTTTGGAGCGCCCGCTTCTACCTTACTCATGGAACAAAAATATGAATGGAATAAAAACTACAGTGCACGCGAGCAAAAATCATTTTATGTTACCAAGTTTATAATTGGCAGAGTCTAAAATCGCCTTATGACTCCTTCCACGCTGCGCGTATCCCGGCGTATATTATACACACGTTTGCCGGTCCCCGGGCGGTTCCGCGCACACTCGCAAATTACGGCGCGCCGCGAGCACGGCATCTGGGGACCTCCGCGTCGCCTCGGTTCTACGGGTCCGCTGTGACAGGCTCCTATTAGGCGCTCACGATCTCGTTCTGATGGAGCGCATCACTCCTGCCTTATCTGCGCCCGAAATCGTTCGATGTCCGAATGAGCCCATATCTCTTTCTCTCCGCCGGACCCGCTGTCGGTTCTCCAAGTGCCAGCGGTGTTTATAAGCCCGAAATGGTATCGACGGTAATCAGGGCCCCATTACAGAGTCCCCGGCGACCATCACTCCGTCGACAACGCGGTGGAGACAGCCGCTCTCCGTGATGGCGTCGTGACCGCGCCATTGCTTCGGGTGCGGGACTGCCGATGCACAACCCAAAACGGGAATGAGTTAGTGTGTGCACGCGGGTCGGCTCGAGCTGCCTGTATGTATACCCTCGGAGACGCGTTGGCCCACATCAGACGCCCGGGGCGGGCTCTTTCCGACTCGTAAGCAAAACGAAGCAGTTCGGTAGCCTCCGATGCGCTTTGCGAGGAGACCCGTACGCGAGACTCGCGAAAGGCCCTTCGCGCGGCGTGTACATCCGAAACATTGGGCGTGAGATAATGCTCTAATTACAGAGACATTCTGGCCGGCCGAGCTAAGCTGTTGGAGGCATGTAAACGGGAGTATATAGTCGTCGTGTGATTTCCGATGCCTTAATAACAGCCCCTTCATTTCTATTTTTTTTTTTCTCCCTCTCTCCGCATGCGATGAGGGCACATATGGGTCTACACGCCGTGCTTACGTGGAGGGGAACTCGCAGTGGAATGCAATTTTGTGTCGCCTTGCTCTGGGCAACGCCGGACGGCGTTCTCCGAGACGGAAACGTAATTGGTGCGAATCTGGCTGCGGCGGCGGTGTATACAGCCTGCAGTGGCTGGACGATGTCTCGCTTTCTCGAGGCTATATCGACGCATCTTCTCACCGCGTCACTCGTTTGCTGCGCTCATGGCAGAGCTGGTTTGGGGGCGCACAGGTAGAATCGGATTTGCATACCTGTGCCGCATGGACAGCCTAATAGGTTTCCGAGGTCCTATCGCTGATAGTGCCCGTATCAATTAAAGATTTTTTGGTGCCTCGAATTTCCGTTACCTGTGCACTGTGGTTAACTGACGATATGTTTGCTTCTTCCACTTGAAACTGGTTTATTTTATGTCTGCGTGTGTGTTTCTACAGTCTAGAACGTAGTCTGCCTCAACGGGCGACTTGTCTCTCAGCTGTAGATGAGAATTTAGCCAGTGCAGTATACAAGCTAGCTGGGGTCTTTAACGTGCACCGCGCAGCGGTGACACACGACCGCACGCCCCGGTACGATGCTCATCCAGATCGAAACGGGCAGGGCTGGGGATTGAACCCAGAATGCTTGGGTTCTACAGCGTGAGCTTTCGCTAGACGTGCTCCGAGCTGGTGTGCGCTAGACCACTCGTACACCGAGAGACGATGTGGTTCGATATATTTATAACGCAATTCGTAAACAAACCGCGTCAAATGGCTACGTTCCCTCAGAAACTGCGTGACAATGATATCCGTTGAAAGGTGAATATTACAGTTCCGA